GGGTGCTGCTGGAGGCGGCGGCGCCGCTGCGGGTGAGAGCGCTCGAGGTGGCGGCACGCGGCGGGGCGGCGACGCACTGGCTCGAGGGCCGAAGCGTGGGTGTCAACGCGGTGTCCAGCGACTACGCGGCTGCCGAGACGTACTTGCGGCGGCGGCAGCTGCTGCTCCGAGGTGAGCCGCTCGCTCCGCAACCCCCAGCCAGGATCCCCCCGGGGCCCTCTCCCCAGGTCTGGGCGCTCCTCCCCAGTGCCCCGAGTTTCGACTTAGAGGCTGCGTGGCCGGGTGACCCTTCTTAAGAAGTGGAGACCTCCTCCCCCAGGGTCTGGACCCTCTCGCCGGGACACACACCCACCTACCCCCTCGCCCCCTACCAAACCCTCTTTCCCAGGAGCCCTTCTCAGGGTCTGGGCGCGCCCCCCCCTTTCCAAAGTCGGGAAGCCCTCCAGGTAAAGGCTATGCGGCAGGACCCCCCACTCTCCAGAGTCTGGAGAACCCCTGGGTAGAGTCAGGACATCCTCCTCTCTGGACCCAAGGATCCGCCTTTAACTCCAGGCCTGGGGTCCCTGATTTCCCAAAGAAGACCCCCACCTCACGTTCTACCCGTGCCTCCTCCCTCAGTTTACCCCTAGTGCTTGCAGAAATGAGTTCAGACCTGGGTGGGGAGTTCTGGTGGTGTTTGCAGGTAGGTTTGCATCCCGGAAAGGAGGAGACTTGGGGTGGGGTCAGATCAGGCTGAGAGGACTCCCGTCTGTCTCCCAGCTCTGAATTTCAGTCCCTCACACTCAGGCCACACAGCCGGTCAGGAGCAGGCCAGGCGTGAGTCTGTGCCTCAGCACTGAGCTATGTTTGCTGTGGAGGATGTTGGCTCCCTGGGTTGCCTTTCCACCCCCTCAGCTAAGCCAGACCTCACTATACTCTTCTGTAAAATGGGCACAGGCAGGGCTGTACACAGTAGATCCTTTGCCCACAGCCTTTCAGCCTTTGCCCAACAGCCCCAGATGTGGGGACTCTCCCCTTACTAGCTGTGGAAACCCAGGCCTAGAAGGCCCTAGGGCGGGACAGGAAGAGGCCCCGGAGGCACTTCCTTTCCCCTGAGACTTAAGGGAAAGTGGTCCCACACCTGGTCCCACTTAACCAGCTGCTTCGTTAAGACACTGGGGTGAAGCTTGCAGAACTGCTGTGTAACCTCGAGTGAGGCCCTGCCCCTCTTTGGGCTTCTGGGGACCCATCTGTGAAAAGGACTCACCACATCCTTTACTTCCTCCTGGGCTTACAGCCTCCAGGGCTCCACTTGGCCCTGGGAGAAGGCACTAGCCCTTCATTTCAATCCGAGTCCCCTCCTCCATGCAGCCCCCCAAGCTGATCGCTGTGTCTATAGCCTCTGTTCCTCCCTTAGGTACTGCTCTGATCCAGTGCCCCTGTGGTCACTCTGACTGCAGGGGACCATGTCCGGTTATGACTGCCCCCCACTGGGGGTTCCGAGGCCTCAGGAGGTTCCCAGAGCCATCTGAAGGCAGGTCAACGGTGGCTTCCAGGGTAGGGGGTGGGTTCGAGCAGCTGCGCATCTCGCTGCCACCAGAGGGCGCAGGCGCCCTGCAGACCGCGACCAGGAAACCCTTTTCTCAGACACGCTCTTTGAGGTTCTTCTCTGAGTAAACTGAGGCCCAGAGAGGAATCATACCGTCTCGAGGGCACACTGCAGCCCTGGCCCCTGGGGTTCCTGGGACGTCCCGTCCACTTGGCTCTATCTGTGAGGGGACTGGGGCGGGGGGCGGTGCCAGGAGCGGGCCCAAGGGCTACGCCTAGGGGGCTCGTAGGAGTTTGCTGGGGGCCGCAAGTTGCGACAGGAACATCGGGTGGTGGGGAAAGCTTGGGCAAAAGCGCTGAGGCGTGACCAAGTGGTGACATGTGGGGAGTGGGTTGATGACCTGGGAGCGAGGCTCTCTGGAAGGGGAAGGTGTCTGAGCATAGGCTACACCGCGATTCATGCACAATACTCTGAGGTCGGGGCCGATTTTCTTCCAGCTCTACAAATGACAAACGTGGAAACTTAGGTTCAAGCGGTGGTCACTAGCCCGGGGTCATCCAGCTGAGCGGGATTCGAATCACAAGACGGGGGGCAGCAGGTGCCCAAGCAGAGGGAGGCCCTACCTACTTCCTCCTCCTTCCCCCATCGCTCGGAGTGGGGAACTGACGCCCAGGCTGGTCCTAGGCTCTCAAGACCCCGATTGGGGCTAGGCCATTCCACAGCCTTCCCGCGCGGGGCTGGACATGCCTCGAGTCCGATCTGCAAGTGGTGGCCAGTTGATGATTAAACCTAGTGGCAGAGTGCTCTTGTTGGGTGACCTCAAGCCCGGGGCCCAACTCCGACCCGAAGTTTCCCCCGCTTTACCCCCGGGGTCCGCGAGAGACCGGCTCGGGCCCGCGATGCTTCAGGTTCACGCAGGGGTCCACGAGGGTAGAGGGTAGCTGCAGTTTGTTATTTTGTTTCACGCCTGGGCGGAGCCACGCCCCTCGCCGCGCCATTGGTGTATTCCTTTCTGGGGGTGGGGCCCGCGTCTCGCTCCGCCCCGCCCGCCGTATAAAGGCAGCGCCGGCGCACGGCGCGTAGGAATTTTTGACCTGGTCGGCAAGTGCGCCTGCGCACCCCGGGCAGGTTCGCGTTCTGAGGCTGTAGCCTCCGCATCTCGCGCCGCCGCGTCGCGGGTTCGAGGCCAGGGTGTGTGCGTCGCGGGTTCGCATCCCGGGCGCGATGCTGTTCGACAAGGTGAAGGCGTTCGTGGTGCAGCTGGATGGCGCGAGCGCGGGCGCCGAGCCGGTTTTCAGCGGCGGCCAGGCCGTTACCGGCCGGGTGCTGCTGGAACTGGCGAGCCCGGCGCGCGTGGGCGCCCTGAAGCTGCGCGCGCGGGGCCGCGCCCACGTGCACTGGACCGAGTCGCGCAGCGCGGGCTCGAGCACCGCGTACACGCAGAGCTACAGCGAGCGTGTGGAGGTCGTGAGCCACCGTGCCACGCTACTCGCGCCAGGTACCGGCCGGCCACCCCGACGCGGCGCACGTGCTGCGCGCTCCTGGAAGTCGGAGCGGCCGCTGAGCCTCCCCCTCTTGCTCCTACCTGCAGACACGGGAGAGACCACGACGCTGCCTCCGGGGCGCCACGAGTTCCCATTCAGCTTCCAGCTGCCTCCGTAAGTCCGGCATCTGGGGCGCGGGATTGTAGGGGAATCCCTAAGCCTGCAGCTCCTTTCACGTTTAGGTCTCCATTGCTCGGTTTGTGGGGACCCTCTGGACCTCAAGACTCCCCCCCCCCGGGGGGGGGGAGGGGGCCTTCAGTGTCTCTGTCTCTCATTCTCCTAAGTCTCTGGGACCACCCCACACCTGCGTGTCTGTGTTTTTCTCCTCCTTGAAGTCCCTTCCTTCCACCTCGCAGGACACTGGTGACATCATTCGAGGGTAAACATGGCAGTGTCCGATACTGCATCAAGGCCACCCTGCACCGGCCCTGGGTCCCTGCCCGCCGGGCAAGGAAGATATTTACTGTCATTGAGCCGGTGGACATCAACACGCCTGCCCTGCTGGTGAGTGGCTGCTCCCAAGGCAGATGGGTAGAGAGAGCTTTGTAGGTGGGGGCCTGGCTGCTGGGTGACCCCAACTGGTTCCTCACCCCTTCACTTCCTGCACAAAGTGGGAATCACAGCTGGGCCCTGGCAGGGCGGGGGGCAGGCATGGGAATGCTTTTGGAGTCCGGCGGAGCTGGGGGCAGATCCTACCTGCACCAATTTGGGTGTGTGCTCTGGGCAAGTGTCTCGCTCTCTCTGAGCCTCAAAGGCCTCATCTGTGAAATAGGGGACAGCCAGGGCTTGGGATAATAATGGCTTTCTGAGGACTAATTACACGCTAAGTAATTAGCTTGTTCACTTTATCTTCAGCTTTATAAGATGGGTTTCGTCTGTGGATTTATTTTTACAGACGGTACCTGGTAGTTAAGAAAAAACCAGGAACCCTGCCCCCCCCCCCCCGAATCCTCCCTCAGCTGGGGGTGGTTTGGAAGCTCTGCGGGATCTGTGGTTTGCACAAAGTGACCTGTTTGTATCCCTTTTCTCCACCCCCCAGGCCCCTCAGGCCGGAGCTCTGGAGAAAGTCGCCCGATCCTGGTACAGCAGCCGTGGTCTCGTCTCCCTCTCCGCCAAAATCGACCGAAAGGGTTACACACCAGGTACCAGGCAGGCGGGGCTGGATGGGGAAGAGGGCCGACCTCAAGGCTGCAGACGGGGAATCTGATGCCCCCCTGCGCCCCACCACAGGTGAGGTCATCCCAGTCTTCGCGGAGATCGACAATGGCTCCACGCGCCCGGTGCTTCCTCGGGCAGCCGTGGTCCAGACGCAGACCTTCATGGCTCGAGGTGCCCGCAAGCAGAAACGAGCAGTGGTGGCCAGTCTCGCGGGCGAGCCTGTGGGCCCCGGGCGGCGGGCGCTGTGGCAGGGCCGGGCGCTGCGGATCCCCCCTGTGGGTCCTTCCATCCTGCACTGCCGGGTGCTGCACGTGGACTACTCCCTCAAGGTAGAGTCTCCCATTGGTCCGAGGGGGGCAGGGGTGGCTGCATCTGCCCAGTCCCCCCAAGGCTGCCTGGGCGCTCTCCCTCATGGCTCGTTCCCCCCAGGTCTGTGTGGACATCCCCGGCACGTCCAAGTTGCTGCTGGAGCTGCCGCTGGTCATCGGCACCATCCCCCTGCACCCTTTCGGGAGCCGCTCATCCAGTGTGGGCAGCCATGCCAGCTTCCTGCTGGACTGGGGGCTGGGAGCCCTGCCAGAGCGGCCTGAGGGTGAGCTCCCCGTCCTGCTGCAGGGGCTGGGTGGGCAGAGAGGCGGCTGCTAGGTGGACTCTCCCTCCCCCCAGCCTCAGCGCCCCCATCTGTAAAAGGGCACAGTGGTGATTACACGGGCGGCCGCAGGTCCTCCCAGAACCTCAGCCTGAGGGCCCGTAGCCCCAGAATCGGCCCAAGCCGGCTCCTGGCCGTGGTCCCCGATTCTGGGGCTCCCCTTCTCTACCAGCCTCACCCACCCCATCTGTCTCACTTGCAGCCCCTCCTGAGTACTCAGAGGTGGTGGCAGACGGGGAGGTGGCAGCCACGGGGCAGAGCCCCTTTCCACCACTGCAGGACACCGACATGAGCCTCGAAGGCCCCTTCTTTGCCTATATCCAGGAATTCCGTTACCGCCCGCCACCCTTGTACTCCGAGGTGAGTGTGGGGGTCCCAGAAGCCCCCGTACCTCTCCAGGCCCTGGGAGCCCAGGTGGGGATGGGACTCAGATGAGTTTGGGGCCTGAGCCCACCTTGCACCCCAGTCTGCTCCACACGTTGCCCCCCCCTCGCTGAGTGTGGGAGTTGGAGATAAACAGGGTGGCGGAGGGGTGTTTCTGAGCCTCTGGTGCCCCCCCTGAGACTGGATGGGACTGTTTGTCTCAGGAGGATCCAAACCCACCCTCAGAGGCCATGAGGCCACGCTGCATGACCTGCTGAGCAGCGAGGGGATACCTCGAGGGATGAGGTCGCACACGTGCTTCCAGCTGCCGTGGACATGGGGAAGTGCTGGGTCAAGAGCCGACCGACCTGACTGCATTGAAGTTGGGGACTCCGAGTCTCAGAACAGGGCACAGCTTTCTGACATCACACAGGACAGAGGAAGAGCCAGTCTGGAATCTGATGTATCTGGACAGGTCCTCGTAAGGTATCAAATGCCCATTGTCGGATCCTGTCGGTCTGTGCTGGCCCGTGGACGGGGCTCGGGTCCCCCGGGAACCTCTAGTCTGGGAGAGACATAGCCAGACGTAAATACTTCCAGTCTCGTGGGACCAGAGGAAGAGGCCCAGGGCTGGGAGAGTCCCAACAGGAGCAGAGAAGGCTTCCGGGAGCAAAGGGCCTTCTAGCTGAGGCCTTGGCCTACGAACAAATGACAGCTCAGCAGGCAGACAAACAAAGAGGAAGAAGAAGTCGGAGAAGGTCAGAGCTGAGTGATGTTTGAAGATCACCCCCTTTGGGGCTCAGAGGGCAAGTGCCTCAGTCGAGGCCACATGGCAAGGTCCGGCAGGCAAGAGGGCCCAGGAACGGGGCATTCAGGGATGCAGGTCATTGAAGCTTTGTGGGACCTGTGGGTGGCAGGGGCATCTGCCCCAGCCTTTGAAAGCCAGAGAGAGGTTGCTGGCCCAGGCTGGGGCTGTCTGGGGGCTCCTCCAAGTACACCAGGACATGAGATCTTGTCTGCATATTGTATAACCCAGGAAACCCAGTTCAGGACATTCAGCCAGGCCCTGGGGACACAGGTCAGCCTGGGGTAACAGCAGGCCCCCAGCGCAGCTCTGGAAACCTCCTGGAGGGAGGGAGGGACAAAGTATGAGGGGGCAGCCGGACCAGCCCCCCGGGTTGTAGAGTCTTAGCCCTGGCTGGGGCAGGGCCCCTGCCTGGGACTCAACATTTCTGATCAGCCTTAAATTGTTCTCTTTTTTACAGTTTTTGGTTTTTTGTTTTTGTTTTTTTAAAATAAAAGTGTGGGGAAAGAGACTGGGCTTATTGGTTTATTTCCCACAGCTGCCAAAGAAGCTGAGTGGCTTTGACCTCCATCTTGGGTCAGAATCTCCAGGATTGAAGGCCAGGCCAAGGGGGGGTTGAGGGGCCCATTGTCCAGCAGGAGAAACAGGCTCAGGGACACATAGGGAGGCTGAGCTCAGGTTGGAACTGGACCCCATTTCCCCCTCCCTAGTGTAGTCGCGGAGGCTTGGAAGCATGAATGGGGGAAGGCTTTTGTTTTCAAGACACAGTCCGTATACCGGGAAATGAGCCGTTTTATTGTTTTGTTTTGTTTTTAAAGATTTTATTTATTTGACAGAGAGACACAGCGAGAGAGGGAACACAAGCAGGGGGAGTGGGAGAGGGAGAAGCAGGCTTCCCGCGGAG